TTTTTTTTGTCAAGAAAGTGAGGAGAAATTCTCCTAACAAATGAAACAGAGCTTGTGCTTCTGCCCAAGGTAATAGAGCCTGTCCTGCTGCCTGTGGGACCCGGGCACATGGAGCACTGTTGGACTGTTTTGGCCAGGTGCTTTCATCCCTCAAGGTCTGTGTCTCAGAACAAAAGTCACTGAGAACCATCAGGTTCTTATATATCTTCACAGTGTAATGGTTTACAAAGCACTTTTCAGTCATCATAGCCCATTAAGTGCTTCTAGGAATCCTCTTAGACGAGTCAAGAATTATTTTTCCTTTTTAGTAGATGGGGAAACTGAGACCTAGAGGATATAGTCTGGCCCATGTCTTTAACAGGCTTGACTCCTAGTTCATTCTGACCCAGCCTGCAGGGGTGCTGCCTCTTGTGAACTGTAGGGCACCAGATACAAAACAGTTCTCAATGTGTTTAAGGTCCTACTGTGCCCCAGGCTGATTATTTAAATATCAGTGTTACATTTGGTTGTTATCAGAAGTTTGAATTCTGGCTTCAAGGCAGTGCTCTGGCTTTCCTTAGCTTCCACTCTTCTTTTGATGCCTCCTGCTAAATTCCATGTAGATTCAAGGGTTGATATAATGAGTTTGGATCATTGTTTCCTGTAAGAGGATCTGGGAGACAAAATTCCAGGGTTAAATAAGTTTGGGAAATATGGTAAAGCAAGCCCCTTCCTTGTGAATGTCACTGTAAACATTTGCATTTAAAGCTCTGAACAGTCCTGCAGTTAAGAAAGTCTGTTTGACCATATTTAGTCTACTGCTTCTCAAACTTACCTACCGTGGAACCGTTTTTTGCATCACACCTTGTAACATCCTGAGAAATGTACTTTGGGCAGTACTGATTCAGAAGGTGTGTTACTTACTAGATCCATCCACATAGTCTCAGATAATTTTTTACCTTCCTGCTTAGCCCCTTCTTGGATTTCTTTGAGGAGAACATGAGAATCAGACCAGACTGATGTTGGGGACTAAAAATGAAGACAATTTCACTGGGGGAGGCAGGCTGTAGTAACAGACAATTTGCAAATACTCCATATGTTCTAACATCCCCTTCCCTTCCCCCACAGGATGGTTTCCCCATTCGGATAAAAGCAGTCCATGTAGTGAATGAACCTCGAATATTTAAAGGCATTTTTGCCATAATAAAACCATTTCTGAAGGAGAAAATAGCAAACAGAGTAAGTGATGATCCTATTGACTTACGATACTTTTTTTTTGCTTCCTTATTTGTAGCATCTATAAGTTTAATTGTGACATCAATAAACTTATCTTAGTTTATTATTTTTGCCTGGGGACTATTAATTTGGAAAGTACAATGAACAGGCCTTTCTGTGAAGGGAAGATGAAATTAATAAGAATATAATATTTGACAGTAGAAAGAGCAGAGCCAGGATTATTATCCTAAGAGCTTCCCTGCTCTGTAATCATTTAGACTTGTTAATATGCTGGGCTGGGCATTGTGAACCAACATCATATTTTACATGTAAAAGGACACGGAAAAGGGTAGTCCAGGCAAGTGGTTAAGAAGAGTTATGGAGATTTCTTACTATAGCTCCTTGGGTTTCAAAATGCCATCTAAGCCTTTCCATTTACCTAATTTGTTGCCTCGCTGTATTATAAAGTTTGTGGAATGATTCAAGGTTTATGAAATATGTGAGTTTTTAGCTTAATTCTTTTTAAAGAAAGGATAGATGACACTTTGAAAGGGGGAAGAGCCACTTCTCTTAGCCTTTCCCAGCACCATGATTGAAATGTGAAGGGTGGTAGTTTTCTCCTTCTCTAGGCCTAGGAACACTGTGATCACTCCAAAGACTGGGTCTTGAATTTTATTTTTCAGAGGAAGCACAGATAGAAAATCTCAGGATTGCAAGGGAGGGAACTTAAAATCCAGATCCCCTGGCCTTTTCCCTGAAGGTTTTAATGAATCCATCACCTCAGGGGTGGAGCCCAAGAATCTGTGATTTTAAAATTTCTTAGGTGATTCTGATGCACAGTTAGGTTTGAGAACCACTAACTCAGTGGCTTTCATGCCTGGGTTTGAGCATATGTTGCTTTCTGGAGATCCTATTTGCAATCGGCTTTTCCCAAAGCAGCTTTTGGGCCAGGTTCTTTGGGGGTTTTTTACATCTGTGAAATGACTTTATTTGTCACCCACAATCTTGTTCCTTTGGTCCTTCATATGTTCATTCATTCACTCAAAAAATATTGATCAACTATTACATGCAAGTGTGTTCTAGAAGAATAAAATAGAGCAAAGTCTCTGCCCCTAGGAAGCTTACATTTTAGGGAGACACAGACAGTGTATTATGTATGTTATCTAGTATTAGAATGTGATAAGTGCAATAGAGAAAAATAAAGCAGCAAAAGGGGACAGTGAGTGTGGGAAGAGGGAGAGGGTTGTAATATTCAATAGGGTGCTTAGAGGTAGCATCATTGAGAAGTTGGCATTTGAGTAAAGACTTGAAAGAGGTGAGGGAGTGAACCTTACAGATATCTGGGACCAGTGTCAGCCCTACCCTGAGGTGGGAGCATATCCGGCATGCTGGAGAAGTAGCAGAGGGGAAGTGGGAGGAGAGGAAGGCAGAGAAGTAACAGGGGTCAGATTGTGACAGGCCCCGTGGGCCATCATATGGACTTTGGCATTTAGTCTGTGAGATGAGAGCACTGGAGAGTTGTACAGAGGAGTGACGTGATCTGACATCCACTGAAAAGAGCTTAGACTGTGGTGGCACAAGGGTGCGATCAGGGAGACCAGGAAGGAGGCTGTTGTGGGAATCCAGGTGAGAAACTATGGCGGCATGGTTCCATTAGGGTGGCAGCAAAGTGGTTGGATTCTGGGTATATTTTGAAGGACCAGCCAACAGGGCCTGGAGTATAAAGAAAAGAGAATTAAAGATCCTCAAGCTTTTCGAGGAACTGGAAGGGTAGAGTTGCCATCAACTGTTCCTTTATTCATTCAACAGATGCTTATTTGAGCACATACCATGAAGAAGGTTACTGAATTACTGATTAACCTAAGGCCATGTATGTTTTTATTTCCTTTCCCTCTAGTTTTTCCTCCACGGATCTGACCTGAACTCTCTCCACACAAACCTTCCAAAAAGCATTCTCCCCAAGGAATATGGGGGCATGGCTGGTGAGCTGGACATCACTGCCTGGAACACAGTGCTGCTGGCCTCGGAGGAGGACTTTGTGAGAGAGTTCTGCCAACCTGTGCCTGCCTGCGACAGCATCCTGGGCCGGGCCCTGCTGCCTGAGGGGCTGACCTCGGATGCGCAGTGTGATGACTCCATGCGGGCTGTGAAATCACAGCTGTACTGCTATTAGCCACTCCCTTGTGAGTGTCACCATCTTTAAATCCTTTCGTTTTTTTCCTCTGGGGAGGCACAAGGATTCATTCTTGCTCCTTGTACTTAAGCTGCAGCGTGGAGGAAAAGCCTGTTGTGCTCCGAGGGTGAGCCGAGGGGTTCGCCCTTGGTTACTTGAATTAGTCCGTAGAAGACACGGAAGATGTTCCCAATGAGTCCCAAATGTTTGGAGTCCCAGTTTGCAGCCATTAATCCGGAAGCTGTATCTGGTTCTTACGCATCTCAAAGCAGGAAAGATCAGGACCAAAGTCACTTTGCTCCCACGTTCCAGGAGGAAACAGCCCAATTGGCCAGTCAGCACACTCCTATGAAACACTTTGGTCAAGCCTGCAAGGTGTCCACATGTGAGACTTTGGGAGTTTGTGGCTTTCACGTGAACCCTAACTCCAGACTTCTGTTACTCATCAGGAATCTACAAGTTTGTGGGCCAGGCTCTTGTTGCCATTATGGGTTTGGAAAGCACTTTATCTGAATCAGGCATGCGTTGGGACATCAGCAGCACTTCCTGATCAAATTTGGGATCCAGAGACTTCAAGCACCTGTGGGATTCATTGATTGAATCTTGCAGTAGAAACTTGTTTTCCCAAATCCACAAAGCCTTAGCCCTGGTTCTCAATAGAATCATGCAAGGTCCTAGAAGTATGTAATTTTACCCAGCCTGAAATACTGGAGGCCAGACCTGTGTAGCTAAAAGAATTCTGGCCTAAGAATTAAGAGACCTGAGATCCAGTCTCAGATGTGTGGCCATGGAAAAGACCTGGGCCTTTGTGAGCCTCAGTCTCCTCATCTGTAAAATGAGGCTAAATGAAATGACACTGAGGGCCCTTTGGGCTGCTGAGGTTCTGGGGTTTGATTTAGTTACTGAACGTTAGACATCGCTTTTCTGGCTAGAAAGATGACTCTCTAGCTGCAAGTGGCTGGATCCTGTTTTTTTGTGGTACACCTGGCCCTTTCCAAGAGGGATGTGTCAGTCGCTAGTTGGCCCTGCCTTTAAAGAAACAAGTATGTATATTCCTGGGACTCAGCGATACCAACTGCCTTTTTGAAGTAAGGGTTGAACTTGAAAAGAATGGTTCTTGTGAGAGCAGGCAGGTGAGATGACTAGGATCTTGTATGACTTCCTCCCATCCCTGTGAATCTGGTGGTATATTGTAAAGCTGGCAGCAGGGAATGGTTCAATTACTTGGGATTCTGAAATGCTGGTCTCTGGAAATGAATACAAAGGCAGGTTATTGCTGGGTCACTTCTGGGGCCCCTGCCCTCCCAAACCCACTTGAGTATGTCTCTCTGATGTGGGTGGGCACACTTAAATCTGTCCAGCCAGACTGAATGTTCTGCATTTCAACACGTTAGACCCTTCCTGTCAAGAATTCAGCCTTTGCCCAAGCATCAAACGAGGTGGTTCATCTCATGGCTTTTGACCTATTTCCTTTCCTATTCATTCCATGTAAATTATGATGTTAAAAAGTGATAAGTACTATGTGTTGTGTGTGTACCTTCTCTGTGCACTTATTAGGCTACAAGGCAAGGTGGACAGCTCAGGAAGAGAACAGTACACTGGAATTCAAAGGCCAGTCTGTTGCAAATAAGCTGTTCATCTTTATAGCACTTCTGAAATTGTCTGGAGAAGTTGTTGGTGGGAATTACCTCATTAGTGCCAATTCTAGGGAAAGCTCTTTTCACCATAGGTACTAACCCTATAGGGACCTGGCTGAGCTAGAAGTGCCAACAGGCACACCTCTGGCTGCCTCTAGTTCCGTCTAATGATGATGTGACTAGCATTGCTGAAGAGAGCTAAATAGAACAAGTGGAGTGGCTAATGTAGATAGAGGGTTTGGAATCCATCTGCCTGGAGCAGAAATTAGTTAGAGGCTTTCTTAGGTACCAAACAGGAAAAAGAGATTAAAAAATAGAAAAAAGCTAGACAGAGAAAAATAAATTGCTCAGCTCTACCAAGTTTCCAAGTTTGAAACTCTGCATTGCATTCCATTGCCTTTGTCTGTGTGACTTCACGTAGGGGTGGCCAAGCTCACCTAGAGAATTATCTGAGACCAGGAAGAATGTTGTTCAGGCCTTTGTAGTTGGACCAAGGAGCTATTTCTTTCAGCTTCTGAAAGGAGTTATAGCCAGAGTTTGTTTGCCTGCTTTCTGGAACTGCTGCTTTGTTTTGATTCCAAAGAGAGATCCAATAGTTCTGGCACCTCAGGAGTTTGAACCAAGCTGCAAAGCCAAGACCTCCCTGGGTGAAAATCAAGGCAGCCTGTGAGGCTTCACCAGGCATTTCCATTGTTTCCCCAGTAGGGGGGCTGGAATGACCAAGGGAGCACACTGGGAGCCTTACTCAGTGTTGGAGGCACACTGATAGCACAGCAGAGAACAGCGGGAGAATGGGGAGTGTTTTCCTACATTTAGGAAAAAAGCTCTGGCCCATTTCAGAGGCGCCTGAAAATGCACTTTTCCCAAAATTCAAGGTAGTGTAGTGTAGGGAAGGAGACTGGAGTCCCAGCTGTACCTTGCTGTGTGGCATTGGTTGAGCCACTGAATCATCACACCCTGACCCTGAGTCCTCCATTTCCAGCGTCAAGCATCCTGCCACTGGGACACTGTACTCCATCATACTGGAGGCTGCTGCCCTCACCCCCCAATCTGGGTTATTCAGGAAATTTAGGTCTGAATGAATTGGCACCTAAAGCTTCCAAATGAATCTGTAAATATAGGTAACATGGGGGTTTTCTTCCTCCTTCCTCCCCTATACTACCGCACAGAAAAGGGTTCCTCTTCCTGGAACCCTGTTCTACCTTCACAGGGAGAGGCTGAAATCTACAGAAAGAAATATACAGAAACTGCCAGAAGTGCAACCCTGGCTTCCTCTTACTTGCTTGTGGCCAAGGTGGCTTTATCTCCCTCATACTTCATCCTGCTTTCACAGGGAGCAACCTGTAGTTAAGTTTACAAACACTTCAGCTTACAAGATACATTGTTTGCCAAAAAGCTGCGGGGCAATAAGAAGTATTTTCCCCAAATTCCTGTGAGACATTCAGCCTTTCAGAATTCTCCTGGTGGGCAATTTCTTAAATGCCATCTGATTCTCAGATCAGTCATGGGATTCCGTTTGTATTTGGGTAGGCAAAAACTAGTACTGTGCGGCATTAAAGTTTTCAACTTTTAAGGTTTTCCTTTGAAACCTCTTTCATTTAGGAAGAAAAATGTTAGCTAATGTGTAAGTGTGCTGTCCTGTGGCATGAAAGGTGTGGAGATGCCAAACAAACATTTTGACTGTTCAGAAATGTCAGTTCTCACGCCTCTGTATTGGGATGCTAATTTTGTAACTCTAAAGTCAATTCCTTTCTGCTCTCCTGACTCAGAAGTGGTTGCTTGAAATGCTAGGAGCAGCAGCATCAGTCAGATAGTCCTCAGTAGAAGCTGCTCCACGGGGAGGCCCAGTGTGATTTGTGGATGAAGATCCTGGTGATGAGTCTACTGTTTGCCAATTGGTTGCTTTTCCTTCCATCTTACTGGGCAGTGTGTTCAGTTGGGCAGCCAGCCAGCTGCCCTTGGGGCTTGTGGATGTGCCTCGCCTCTGCACATCAGGTGGGACCCTGTTACAAGTGAAATACTTGAACCTTCTCTGGAGCCAACAGCCTCTGACACCACTCTGATGGGTGGGAGGTGGGCTAACTTTCTGACCAGGTTGGGGCACCATTTCAGCCACTGGTCACATTCCTCACTTCAAACTGAAATTCAGTTTGGCTTTGAGTATAGGGACACATGGTGGTGGATTCATCTACTTCAGTGTTTGTTTTGACCAAAAGTTTATTTTTCTAGTGCATTTTCTAAGTCAAAGTGGTGAAAACATGTAATTTTAGCATGCATGACCAAGTCTTAAACAATAAAAATCCCTGTAAGGTTGAGTGTGTGTGGAGTCCCTTTGTGACAGTGGCAGTTTGGATTAAGGTTTTGAGGCTTTATTATTCATGGTATGCAGTGGCCTGGGCAGAGGCACCCTGCAGCGGAGGCAGGAGGGGCACTGACACCACAGTGCCTTCTGTAGATGTAGGGCTGGCTGGTTGGAGATCACATACAGTTAGAAGCCACCAGCGTGTAGAAAGGATGATGGGGCTGGATGCACATAGTGGTGGAGACAATGTGCACATTTTTCAGTTCTCAAGGCCTAGCTACACTTCCCAGACCGGCCCTGAGTCCGTCCAGTGATAGTGAACAATTCCTGAGAGCTCACGTGGGCTGGGCATCAACAGTGTTCTTCACATAATCTCATTTAACCATCACACCCCCTAATGAGGCAGTATTATTGCCCCTGTAGGGGGAGGCACAGAAAAGCTGAGCAGCTTGCCCAAGGACACACAGCTGGTCAAGTAGTAGGACTGGGATTCAAAGCCAGGCAGTCAGGCTGGAGCCCACTATTTTCCTCCTGATGGTGCTAGGCGGTGCACGTCTCTTATTGTTAGCCCAAAAGATGGAACACAGAGGGACAGAAGGAACTTTGAGGGTGAGGAAGCATCAGTCTAAAAATTGGCTTTATTTTTTTTAGGTTTCTTAAAAATAAAGCAGAGGTTCTTAACCTCTGACACTCAAGTTGTAATTGAACATTTTATTCCAGAAGCACCTTTAAGTAAACCCAGACTCCCTGGGAGGGTTACTAGGGTGTGGCTTGATCAGCTGGTCCTCTGCATGCTCAGCCATCTACCTGTCCAGTTTGTTTCTACAGAGGAGCATGCATCTTCACCAGGGGAGACAAAATACAGGTCCCCATGGTGGGTCTGGTGTGTTGGTGATGGCTCAGTTGAGAAATACTCACATTCAGGATGTCTATACAACTCACTGTTGGCTTCTGATATTCAACAGGTGAGTACTCACACTGCAACATCGCTCTTCAGGTCAGCCTTCCCTGAGGGAACCGTGGAGCTTAAGCTCCGTTTCTCATACCTGGAAAAATGGAGCTAATGGCTCCAATCCTTCTTACCTTATAGCGGTGTTACAAGGATACTTATGAGGCACTTATACGCCACTGGAGTTACCGTCCATGTTATGAGTCGGCACTTTCTTTTCTAAAATACCTTAGTTTTCCCCACTGCCCACTCTTCACATTGTACTCGTTTAGCATACCTATGATAAATGGCAGCAGATGTTTCACATTATTGCATTTATAGTTGGTGAGTAATAAAATCATTTAAGGTGCCAGTTTACTGGAAAAATTTTTTTAACTAAATGTTCACCCTTGATAAGGTGCCAGCCATTAGGGATAGTGTCCTAGTAAGGTATTAGCTACTGCCTTTAGGAGATTACCAACTTTCTTTTGTTAATGATGAGTAGCTTGGCGGGCCAGTTGACTCCCTGACATGTCCCTAAGCAGTCTCTAGTTTATACTGTCTCCTACATCCCAGAAGGCCAAGAGACAATGGGGTCTAACTGAAGAAAGAACTAAGTCAGCCTGGGGTTGGTTTCTGTGTAATTGTGAGCAGATCACTAAGCTCTCTAAGCCTTGGTTTGATCTGCAAAAGGGAGAGAATCATCACCACCTTGCAGGTGTAGACATGTCTGTTCACTGCTTGGTACATGTAGCTATTTATGTGGTAGTCACTGTAGTTCTTCACCTGAGGTTATAGGCATCATGTGGCCTGGGTCACCCAGCAGTACTCAGGACATCACTGAGTAGGTAACACAGCGGATACAACAGATCAACACAAAGGAGTAAAGAGATCTGAAGTGTTGCCCTAGTTGGTTTGGCTCAGTGGTTAGAGTGCCGGCCCGTGGACTGAAGGGTCTCGGGTTCGATCCCAGTCAAGGGCACTACCTTGGTTGCAGGCTCAATCCCTGGCCCTGGTTGGGGCACATGCAGGAGGCAACCAGTCAATGTGTCTCACATCGATGTTTCTCTCTCTCTCCCTTCCACTCTCTCTGAAAAGCAATGGAAAAAGTATCCTCGGTTGAGGATTAACAAAGAGATGAAGTGCTGCTCCCATTAGTAAGGATAAGCCTGGTGTCTGCCGTCAATCTGCAGACATCAAACGCATGACTCGTATTACTGAATTCTCACTTTACCTTAATGTGTAAAAAGAAAAATACAACCCAGCAAGGAGTTGTAATGGACAAAAAAGCTGTCCTGGTTAAAATTAAGTCTGAGTTAGGATTTGGTATAGAACATCAAAAGCACTGATAACCAGGTCCATGGTTATTCTTTGGTAGTACCTTTGGTTGTCAAGAGAAAGTTTTATTTCCCAATTAACTGAGCACCTTATAACAACAACCTAGAAAGTATAGCCAGCATGGGCCTATAAGCTTTCTCCCAGATGTAACTAGGTTAAGTGGCAGTCACTGCTATTGCCTTTGATACACTCCTACAGCACACTGCGGACCTCAAAGCCAGGGCCCCCAATCTGCACTCCTGGGAGACAGACAGGCCTATTTATGATAATGAAACACTGGGTGATTCACCTGGAGTGAGATGACACATGAGGTCTGATGATTCAAAATACTCCCCTGCTTTACAGTCAAAATGCTGACATTTATGCTTGTCTATAGCTCCACACTCATGTGTATAATTCACTTCAGTCTTGGGTAAACTACTGGGTTTCCAACTTAAAACCACTCACAGCAGGGACACTGCCCCTTAATGTTTAAAGAACATTTATTTCAAATTAATACCAAAGTTATATCATAAGAAAAAATTTAAAAACTTTATTGAACTTTATTACACTTATTTTACAGTTTAGTATTGCTTTTATTTTGAATTACATAAGGTAGGACCTTAATGGGTTTAATCTGGCTGGCCCTGCTATTAAGGAAAGCGGGGTGTCTGCTTTATACTGGAAAAGAGCTAAACCTCCCCTATCTTCCCTCCAAATCCCTTACAACCTTATTTCTGTACCCCAAAATAAACCACTGGTTTAGAAGACGGTGGTTGCAACAATTTCTATTATCAAGCCCTGCTTCCCTACCTGCACACCTCCACCCCAACTGAGATTGTGCCCTCTAGGTCCCTGTGTTTAACCCTGTAAGAACACCTCAGTTCTAGCCTGTGCTAGATTGTGACTGAAACTCTCTGACCTTTTAATATTGGGCAGTCTCTTTTTAGCCCATATTGAGATTACCAGCTACTACCAGAGTGCTTAAAATGAGTTAAGCACTTTGCAAGGTAGCTTTACTCTCCAAACAATCTTATGCACTAAATACTAAATACTATCTTTTGTTCAAAGAAAACAGTGAGGCTCAGACAGGTAGTCATTTGCCCAAGGTCATAAAGCTTAGTATATAGTCAACAACATTAGCTGTTTGACACAAAGAAAATGGCAAAACTAATGCAAACCCAGTCAGACTTTGAAGAATATGCTCTTTGGCATTCTTAAGGGACCATACCTCCATCCTTCTAGCACAGCTTGCCCCTCACCATATAAATTGAACCACCATCGACCCCAGTGGTTAAACCAGAATCACTTAGGAATCTGCTTCTCACCCATAGTTGGCCAATTTTTAAATTTTAATTACTAAGTAGCTCTGAGCTGTCAATTTCTCTCCATTCTCACTTTCACTTATCTGTTTCAGATCTTACATGGACTGCCTGGTCTTATCTAAATCCATTCTCTATATATACAGTGACTGAGGACACAATTTATTCATGCCACTATAAATACGCTCCCCACTGCCCTCAACATAAGGTCTAAACTCCTTAGCGTGGTTTACAAAGCCTTTCATAACCTAGTCTCAGCCCATTTCTCCCCATTCCGGCTTTACTAAACAAGTTTTTTAAAAATCTCCCTGCCTTTAACATGCAGTTTTGTCTACCCTTCAGCAATGCCATCCCACGTCCCCATTTCTTAGCTAACTCCTAACAATTCTTGTCTTAGACATCACTCTTTCCAGGAAGCCTACCATGACACGCCCCTAACCCGGGCACCTCTTCTTTGAGTTCTCTGCAATCCCTAAGTCCCAGCACTAATTACACCACATTGTACCACTTGTTATCTCATTTTCATCATCCTTGAAACTCTAAGTCCAAGATAGCAGAGCTGATGCCTATCATGCTTAAAGTTGTATCCCAAAACCTGATGGGCTGGGTTGGTAAAGAACAGACAGTAAATCTTTGTTGAAAGAACAAACTTCTATCTCCTTGTGTGCCACCTCTCCTGGAGGATTCCTGACAATTCCTTTCCCCTGCCTCTCATCTACCCAAGAGTCTCACCCAGAGAAGATATTAGTAAAATTGTTGAAGGAGTTCAAGATTTTACTCAGCAGCCCTTAAGTTTTAGCAGGAACAGACACATTCTGCTGAGGCCTGATAAATCTGACTGCCCACATAAATCTAAAAAATATAGAATGGCTACTAATTCATAAAAGCTGTTAAAGAAAGGGCCTTAAAAGCATAAGTCTATTGTAATCAAATACCTTATAGTGCAAATATAATAAATTCACATGCATTTTACTTTTACATACTCATAACAAAATAATTACATTGACTAAAATGGCAGTTTTTCCCCAAGAGAATCTTCATTTTAACCAAATCGACAAAGCATTTATTGAAGTTAATGTTCTGGCAAAACCATAGACTTGAATCAAGCAGCATCAATGCTGTAGTATAAAAAAAATTAAAAGTGTCAAGGTGCAGAAGCAGTAGCCCTATCAGCAATCCCTCTTCTGGGGAAGGACTCACACACATACTCCTTTGCTCAAGTACTATGATGCTACACCTCTTAAGAGTTTAAGGACTGAACAGGGTGCTTGCATCACCCAAGTAAAGACTTTCACAGAGGAAAACTGTCCTAGAAATACATTATTAATTTTTTTCTTTCTCTTTAAGGATACTGCAATAGAAATATATTAACGATGGCCTCAAATATCCAATAGTTTTCTCTTACATTTTAAATCAAAGCTGTAGGGACCTACAGGTCTTAATAAAGGACTCTCTTCACAGCACAGCTGTAGTTCACTTTACAAGGCAAAAATGTTCCCTTTGAGCTATATCCTTAAAATAAACAATGCAATGTAAATGAAAAGTTCAGATCCTGCATCAATCATAATTCAATCTTGCCCTCAGATATAAACCTGGATATAGTCAAATTCGCAAAGCATTCACTTAATATTTTAGTTGAAGCAAAAGTAAAAGGGCTTTCAGCAAAGGGAACGTTTATGAATTTCAGTGGTGTCCCTGGCACTCAGAGGTTCAGCTGAAGTCGCGATTGGTGAGGACAACTGGAGCCACAAGGGTCCAGACGTAGAGGAGGAGGCAGACCCAGCTGGAGCTGATCTTGACCCACACAGCTGGCCACTTGCTGGTCACATTCCGGAACTCCGCATCAGGGCTAAGAAAACAGAAGAGTGTCAGGAAAAGGAGTCTGATACCAGTATCAAGCAGCCTCCCCACCCAAAGACAGGAAGTTCTCCAGGGAAACTTGGCTAACACTACTCCCTAGCAAGGTTCTAGAAGGGAATTGAGGAAGCTGCTGTTTTTAGTTTTTATGAGTAGGGAACTCTACCTCTCAAATGGCTTTCATCTTCTTGCCAGCATGGAGAACCCTGACTAATCTTTGAGCAAAGTTCTTTAGGAACATTGGGCTGTTCTAGATACTAGTAAAAGTCTAGACTGAAATGGCCTCCCTGAAACTTTCCTTCCTTACCAATCATTACTTTGATCAGAATACTCCATATGGCCCTCTCCAGACACAGAGAAAAATTAGAGAACAAAGATGGGCCACATGGCTTAATGTCATGATTTTCTCTCTCAAGTACTCAAGTTTGAAAGAGCTCCCCATAATCTACACCGTAAGAATCACAACTGGATTGTAAATCCAAGAGGGAAAAAAGTCAAAAGTATTTCAGAAAAGTGTCAGCACTGAACACAACTTTATTATATAGGTAAGACAAGGGGACTTCAAAGCCAGGAAAATGGATGAAGACTTTACAGTCAGCCCAAGGGGCTAAGTGGTCTTCCATATGTGCTGTTTATGCCTCCTACCTGTACCAGCCTGTCACGGTCATCATGATGTACAAGGAAGCCAGGCAAAGCATCAGGTGGAACATAGCATAGCTGTACTGAACTCCCTCTTTCTCATTGTCCATGGCCCGCCGAGGCTGTCCATCTTCTTCATCACCGGACCCGTTGGTGGCAGTATCACGGAGAATCACACTTTCACTTCCTGACAGAGTCAGCTTACTTACCTGGCTATTGGTGGAAGTGCGGAAGCTAGAAAGTGATCCCAAGGAAAACAAGTCAGAAATGGGCCCTGAAGATGAACTGCTGCCATTGGCTTATATACATGAAGGTTATTTCTGAACTGCTCCTACTTCGGGGCTGACGGCCTTCTGAAGGGCCCTGCCTAAAGTTCTGAACTGTTCCTGCCATCACAAGACAGACAGTACTCTTATCAGTTACTACTTGATGGTTTAACTGCTTAGAAGTTTCCCAAAATATACTATGCTTTCAATGTCTACTCCCATGACTTCACACGCACCTCTTCTATTCTTAGAATGTACCAACCTTCAACCTTCTCCCAGCTAACTTACTTATCCTTCAATTCTCTGGCTTGTGCCACATTCTCTGGAAATCCTTCTCTGACATCACTCCATCACTAGGCTGGGTTAAATTCCCACAGCTCTTTATGCTTCCCTCTGCCATAGCATTTATCATTCCTGTCTCTCTTGCTATTCACAGATGACTAAGGTCATTAACAACAATGACCTTAGTCATCTGTGCTTTCTGGGACATAATAGATGCTCACTAAAGTTTGTTAAATAACTCAATTACAAAATACATACAAAAAAGGACAAAAACCACATGATCACCTCAAGAGACATAAAAAAGACACATTTGACAAAATCTAATACCGTTTCAAGATAACAAAAACACTCCAACTAGAAATACAGTAAAACTTTCTCAAATTAATCAAGGACACTTATGAAAAAACCTAGTGCTAAAGTCATATTTAACAGTGAAAAACTAAAAGCTTTCCCCCTAAGACCAGGAACAAGACAACTCCACTCTTCATTTCTATTCAACATTGTACTGGAGGTTCAAGCCAGAGCAATTAGGCAAGAAAAAGATAAAAGGCATCCAGATTGGAAAATAAGATGTAAAACGATCTCTATTTGCAGATGACTTGACTTTGTATATGGAAAAGTACTAAGGAATCAATCAATAACCTTGCAGGATACAAAATTAATATACAAAAATTAATTATATTTCTATACATTAGCAATGAACAACCTCAAAGATAAATTAAGAAAACAATCTCATTTACAATGCCAATAAAAAATAAAATACTTAGAAAGAAATTTAACAAAAGAAGTTTAAGACTTGTACACTAATAACTATAAACCACTGAAAGAAATCCCAATTACCTTTTTCATATTTTGGCAGAAATTGACAGGCTGAACCTAAAATTTACATGGAAATGCAAGGGATTCAGGATAGCCAAAACAATCTTGAAAAAGAACAAATTTGTATGGCTCACACTTCCCAATTTCAAAACTTACTACAAAGCAACAGTAATCAAAAAAGTGGTATTAGTATAAGAATAGACATACGTATCAACAAAACAGAATTATGAGTCAAGAAATAAACCATTACACTTATGATCAACTGATTTCTGACAAGGATGCCAGGACAAGTCAGTGGGGAAAAAATACTCTTTTCAACAAATGGTGCTGGGACAACTGGATATCCCCATACAACAGAATGAAGTTGGGCCCCGTACCTCAAACCATATACAAAAACAATAAAAAGACAAATAAGCTGATTTAAAGACTAGACAAAAGATTTAAATAGACATTTCTTCAAGAAAGACATAAAAATGGCTAATAAACACATGTAAAATGTTCAACATCATTAGACATTAGGGAAATGCAAATCAAAACCAAAATGAAATGCTGCTTCACATCCTCTAGAATGGCTACAATCAAAAAGACGTAAGTACAATGTAATGATTAGGAAGTAATGAAATTAAAACCCTCATAATATTGATGGTAGGATTGTAACATGATGTAGCCACTTTGGAAAGTGCTTTGGCAGTTCCTCAAAAAGGTAAACATAGCAGCCCAGCTGGTGTGGCTCAGCAGCTGAGCATCGACCTATGATCCAGGAGACTGAGGTTTGATTCCTGGTCAGGGCACATGCCCAGGGTTGTGGGCTTGATTCCCAGCAGGGGATGCAGGGGGCAGCCGATCAATAACTCTCTCTCTCATCATTGATGTTTCTCTCTCTCTCCCCCTCCCCCTTCCTCTCTCTCTGAAATCAATAAAAAGTTTTATTTTTTTAAAAAGCTAAACATAACAGTACCATATAATCCAGCAATCCTACTCACAGGTATATACCCAAGAGAACTGAAAACGTATATCTACACAAAAAATCTGTACACAGACATTCATAGCAGCATTATTCATGATAGCCCCACAGTGGAAATAGCCAAATATCCATTAACTGATGAATGGATAAATGAAATTTGGAATATTATTTCCAACAACAGAAGGGAATTAAATACTGACATGCTACAACATAGATGAACCTTGAAAACATTATGCTAAGTGAAAGAAGCCAGTCATAAAATACCATATAGTGTATGATTCCATGCATATGAAACGTTTAAATAAGCAAATCTGGAGACAGAAAAGAGGTTACTGTCTGCAAGGAGCTCGAGGGTAGGCGGAATGGGGAATGACTGCTAATGAGCATGGGTTTTCTTTCTGGGTAAATAAAATGTTAAAATTGTGGTGATGGTTTGATGGTTGCACAATTCTGTGAACATACTAAAAAACTACTGAACTGTATACTTTTAAAGGGTGAATTTTGTGGTATGTGAATTATATCTTTTAAAAAAAAAGTAGGTCAAAGGCAAAACAAACAGAAATAGTCATAGACAATATGAAAACAAATGAGCATAGCTGTGTACCAAAAAAAAAAACACACCCCAAAATAGGCAGACAGCCCAAGGCTATAGTTTGCCAAACCCTATTTTAAGCAATCATTAAAAATAAAATAAAAAAATAGGTTCTACACATAATGTTATGGAAAGCTATCCAGATTATAAAGACAAATTCATATTTCAGAATAGCATGTGTATTTATACATCATGTTCTCTATTTAGTTAGTTTTAAAGATTTTTTTATTGATTTTTACAGAGAGAGGAAAGGAAAGGGAGAGAGAGAAACATCAATGTGAGAGCAAAACATCAATCAGCTGCCTCCTGCATGCCATGCCCCCTTAACCAGGGACTGAGCCCGCAAATGGGGCATGTGCCCAGACCAGGAATTGAACCTGCAACCTTTTACTACACTGGACAACACCAAACAACTGAGCCACTGGCCAGAGCCCTAATTTATTTTTAAAAATTATTTATCAAGCGATATAAATAAAATGATGTATTTACCCCAGCTGGGTGACTCATTTGGAGAATCGTCCCGTACACCAAAAAGGTCATGGGTTCAATTTCCAGTCAGGGCACATACCTAGGTTGTGGGTTTGATCCTGGGTCGGGGCGCGTGATCCCAGGTTGGGGTGAGTGTGGGAGGCAACAGATTGATGTTTCTCACTTTGATGTTTCTCTCTCTCTCCCTTCCTCTCTCTCTAAAATCAATAAACGTATCTTCAGGTGAGGATTAAAAAAAATTGTGTATTTAGCTTTATATAAAATTATGTGTAATTATATATGCATAGATAGGTTGATAGTAAGTATAAGCAAAGGAAAAAAGCCTGAAATAATGTGTACCAAATGTTAACCGTGGAAGAGGTAAATCTCGAGGGAGGATACTTACATTTCCTATTTTATACTTTTCTTACTTATATTATTTGTTCCTATAAATATATCCTTACCCATTATTATTACATATTTGGAAATAAAGTAATATATGCTATTATATAGAAAATGTCAATAAAAATGAGTGGGAAGGTAAGTGCAAACTGCTAACATAGGTTGTATCTGGGGTCTTGAATTTACTAGTCTTTAACATTAGATATGTATAATTCTGTAGTTGTTTAATTATTTACAATGATCAGGAAATAATTTTTTTTTAAGATAAGCCAACCTATTTTCAGAGCCACTATTCTAGCTGCTTCACTCAGTATTAACCTTCACGAGAATCTTGTTCTAAGTATTTTTAACTTACCTAGAATACAAAAGGCAGAGAGCAAAGAGTAACAGCCCAATAAAATTTCCATTATCCAGAATATGCCCACTCTGTGATGGGGGAGCAGAGGTAGGGACCAGAGCAGTTGAATTTGCAGGAGCCAAGGTTGGTGCAGTCAGGTGTGTAATGATGCTCCACAGGCCTGGGTTGCAGGAATGATCTGAAAATGGGAAATATTTTATCCTTAGTTATAACTCAACTTGTTCCAAGAAAGTATTTGAGGGATGTGGTTACACATTCAGTCATAACATAAAACATGGGAATACTATATAAAAGAATCTGAAATTTAGCAGTAACATATTTGTGTTTCAATCAGTGACTTAGTTTTAGAAAAAAAGAAACAGTAATTTGTCAAATTTCACAATTACCAATCTTGATTTCACTGGTTTTGAAATTTAACTGATAAATCTCCTTGGTTCTACAATTATGCAAAGGCTTTAAGCACAAGGAGTTTATCCCTAATTTTGTTGTCACATATTTACATAGGAATATAATAAAAGCAAGTTGAGTCATCATTACAGGGTCTGTGATAACTGTTTTCCTTTCAAAGGAATCCACAGAATAACCTATTGAGAAATAATCCTATAATAGCTACAAAAGGAGATTTCCTACAGCAGTTTCTTCTAGGGCTTGTAACACCAAAGGAAAATTCAATTAAAACAATCCTACAAAGGGCCAAAACAATGTTATCTTGTCTACCTCTTAACTAGTTTGACTTAGTCCAGAAAAAAGCCTAGAGCAGCAATTTTCAACTGGTGTACCACAGGAATTTTTAAAATACGCAAAACCTGACTATTTAGTCAGGGGCATTGACCTTTTTTCCCTTAGGCTGTCAAATAAAAAAATGACAACAGTGATAATCGTTGGTGTGAATCAATCAAAATTATATTTGTTCACTTGACATCTGCTCTAGCTGCAGCTTTTATTCCACCAAAGGAATAATTTCCACTTTCTTTTCCTCAAATGAGTGTGCTCTTGCTATTCCCTTACCAGGCTCATTGGTCAGGGCTGACCATGTCAGGTAGATGGTGTAGATGGTGATGATAGAGGACTGCAGGAGACCAGAACGAGGGTGGTGTTCCTATGGAATCAAAAAGAAAACATGCCACAGAATTGCACGGCTGACTTTCTGAAACCTGGGGTACTTCCCTGGGACCCACTTAATTGTTATTAACTAAGAGCCTTCTGATTCTGCTTGACAGTTGAAAGATGACAAGTAATCTCTGAGTTAGCTTCAGGAAGAACCCAGAAAGAGGAAGCATGTACTCTTGGTTCTCAAGGCATTTCATAATCCTGGAAATTCCTATTTATCACACAAAGCTTCGATTTACCAGTTTCTTGGTGTTGTGGAATCTAAAATCAGCTTTGTCACTAACTGGCTGGGTGATTCATCCCTCTCGAACTTCACTTTCCTCATTTTTAAAATGAGATGTCTAGATGTTCTTTTCAGATTTCATATATAAAACTCCATGAATTTTTCAAAGTATAGTATTTAAGTGATGAAACTCAGGAGCATGACTTTTGTTTTTAAGTATTAAAAATCAATTCTTTTTTGGGGGGTTAACTCCCCTAAAATATCTTGGCTAATGATTCAAAAGAATCATTCCCAAGATGTAAATCTTATAAAAATTATAAATTCCCAAGTTACCTAGGTTTTTTTTACATTATAGGGAAATTAGTCATTTAATTATAATATAGGCAACTCAATGGCACATTTTATAGTTACTAAGTTATAATTACAAAGATTTCATCATAACATGGAGAAATGTTTAAGCAGGGTAAAACGTGGACATAAGTTCATATAAAAGGTTACCTAGGTTTCAAGTTTAGCATTAATTAAAAACCCTACAGGAAGCAGAAAACCACCATACCTGAATTTTTGGGTGGATGGATAGAATTGAAACCACAACACAAAGGATGAGGTTAATACTGATAAAGAACTTGTTTTCTGTGCAGCCATCTGGTTTGGTGTAGTATACATAGAGCAAACTGACAAAGATGATTGAAAGGGTATACAGGATGCTCGTGACGGATAGTAAAACTGAAGGGAAAAAAGGGAAACCAATATGAATACCCACACTCCTAACAAACTTTTATAATGAAGACCAACTTTCTTCTCCATTTAAAAATAGACATTATTTCACTTTGACGGTGGTTACTAATTTACAGTGAAGTGACAGAGGCCCCAAGGTTGAAGTTTCAGATTGTGTTAGAGTTGGCTCAATAGCAAATTACAAAATCCACCAAACAACTGAATTCACTTCCTGGATTACCTAACTTGATTTCATGGGTTGAAAAACCAGACATCTGATCATTCTAAACAGAATAAATTCTAACTACATGCAAAATATTGTTCATTATAAGCTTCTCTTAGGAACTTAAAAGACTTCATAGCCCTCAAAATGAAGCAGTTCACAGCAAGCTGAGCGCCAGGGACGGTGTTAGAAGAAAACAGAATAGACAGGCATCTTTAATGGCAGTTTTTCCTCCATAGCTACTGGCTACATAAACCCATTTCCTGTCACAAGACCACATCATTGTGGGAAAGTGGCTTATTTGCTACTTTCAAATATCTAAAGTAATGTTCCTTTCTATTCACGTGGATAATAAAATTAGCTGTGTAACTCTGAAAAACATGAAAACAGTATACAGTATATCACACCAACTGTATTTAATTCAAAGCACAAACTTATTTGAAAAAACTAGTTTCTACTTATCTCAGTCTCAATGGATTTTGCATGGCTTAAATGCTATATATGATGTTACTGATGCTATACTTAAGTTACTCTTAATGTTTTCCCATCTGAACATACAAGATTTCTCTACTTTTAGTTACTCCAAAGTACGGCAAAGTTCATTATTAAGTTCTTCTAGAGTTGGAGTGACTGAGAATGAATTATACAAAACAGAAGTAAACAGGTTAAAAAAAATGAAACAAATTTTATTAGTCAGAAAGAAGGAAGTGGTTCAGGATTCCCAACCCATAACGATAATTTACAAATCTTTTTCTGCAATAAACAGACATTACAAACAGTTTAAGTGACCAACAGCAGGGCAATGGGTAAATAAATTGTGGTACACCATGCCCTGGAACATCAAGGAATTGTACAGATGGGAATACCATGCGACTGTTAAATGAGCAAGACATATCTGCGCTCCCTGGCAGGGGACACCATTCATCATACAGTAAGTGGAAAGAGCAAGTCATGGAATGAAACACAGTATAAATTTATTTACATTTAAACATAAAAACAGCCCTAGCGGGTTTGGCTCAGTGATTAGAGCGTTGGCCCAAGGGCTGAAGGGTCTTGGGCTCAATTCTGGTCAAGGGCACATACCTGGGTTGTAGGCTCTCTCCCCAGCCCCAGTAGGGAGGCAACCAAGGGATGTTTCTCTCTCTTTCTCTCTCTCCTTTCCACTCTCTCTGAAAAGCAATGGAAAAAATATCCTCAGGTGAAGATAAACAAAACAAAACATGTGGATGCGCACAAATACATAAAGGTCCAATAATAGTGGTGACATCTGGAGAGGAAAGGGGGTTGTTGAAGGTTGGTAGAGTTGCATGTTTTATTTTTTATAAAATTCTATCATTTGTGTTTATGGTAAAAATGGCACTTATTTTTTTCTTTTTCAATTTAAAAAGCAGCACCCTAAATAAATAAGATGAAAAGGAAGCTGGACAATGTGATAACATGTACTAAAAGCATTTAAAATATCCATACCCTTTGACCCTTCTACTTCTGGAAATTTATTCTAAGGAAATAATCAGAAGTGTACTCAAAGATATGTTATTGGGTATTTATTGCTGTACTATGGCCAAACATATTCACAATCTATTTCTAAGCTTTAAAAAAGGTCAAACTATAAACTACTGAATATATAATACATTTTAAAAATAAATAAGACACAAACATATTACCCATTTTTCAATAACTTGTTTCCTATACACGGAAGATACACATGTACATGTAGAAAAAAGACTAGAAGGCTATAGACTAATGTGTTAACAGTGAGTAATAATTACTGGGGAGTTAGATTATGGGGGAATTTTTTTCTTTTGTGATTTTTTGGTTTTCAAGTTCTTGACACAGAGCATCTATTATTTTACAACTGGGGAGCCACGAGGAGGAAGTCAGGGCCAGGACTCTCAACCATTATTTTTAAAACTAAAGCACGGCTGGGTATTGCTCCTAATAACTAGAGGGCTCCAAAGTCCCTCCCCATTATTACAGGCTATAAATTGTGTTCCCAACCTAAAAATTATAAGTACCCTTTTCCCACCAGAAGGATTTTACAAGGGTGTAGAGTCACATTCTGAATAAAACAGTAAGTACCATTCACCTTCTGGTGAGAAGGACCTGCTGGCAGATGTCCCATGTGTAGAATGCATGTGAGTCCTTGTCCAGGGAAACAAGGAAATCAAAAGCAGAACTATGTCACTAAATAAAGCTTTTCCCCTTATCTAAATACATGTAGTTACATTACAAATCTCAAAATAAGTGAAGTGGGGGAATCCAATGATTTATATGGTCTGTGTTACTTCCTTCCAGTAATGCATGTAATTCACGACTCAATGGGAAATTATAGTTTTTCAAAAGTCAGCTCGACCTTGCAAGTTCACACACTGAATCCACGGAGGTTTTCCCTGCACACCCTGTTTAACGCAGCATATGCAGCACGGCCTCACAGGTGGGTCAGGTACCTACCAGCATACCAGCACCTCGGGTTTCCTTCCTCCATTCGATTCACACACGACTCGTTCAGAGAGTGAGCCAGGTCCACCAACAGCACCAGCTGGATCAGGATGAAGAAGAAGGCCCCGAACATGCCAACAACGAACCAGACTACAAGCCAAAAGGAAAAGGTTATTCTGGGCCACACGAGTGGCATTTCAGATGCTGCCAACATTCTAAAGATTTCAATTCAAGTAAGAGAGAGATGGTAGAGACATACTCTGTCTCCAGCAGTACAGTAAGACCACTCCAATTCCAAGCTCAAAGGCATTCTCTGAGAAGTGTTCTGTTGGGTTTCAAACCTTGTAAAACTTATTCTAGCTTGTGCCAAGGGGAGCCTAGAATCTGATATTCCAAATGCTACGATAAGCCTTTTTCCTTTACCTTAGAGGAAGGAAAAATCATAGTGGAAATCCACATATGTCACTTGATGCCACAGTAAGGAAGGAGGCGAAGACGGGGGTGGG